GAATTTTACAATATATTCAATACTCACTATTGGCGAAAGAGATAGAGGGTATTTTGCCTAAACATTGTTGTGATCCTGATCTTAAGAAATGTTTTGATAAACCACCACATCTAGCTTATAAAAGGCCAACTAACCTATAACTAGTCAAAACCTGTATTTCTGAACATCGTAGCACTATTAGACACCAAGACCCTAAGAGTCTGGTAGCACAACATATTGCTGTCTTTAGATATCCCATCTCCACTCTCCAATAGATATCGAACTGGTTTAGTGTCTACAACTTGGAGGTGATATCAATAATTTACTTAGACGCGAAATATTTGGGATTTATACCTTAGATACGTTATAAGAGACTTAATGAAGACTTCGACATTCATCCATTTCTTTATTTACATTTATTCAGATGCTTTTATCCAAAGCGTCTGCTAAATTAATAAAATGTTTATTTTATAAGTTCTCTGCTTATACGTTTTGGCTGCATTCTCATTGTATGCTACTGTACATGTGTTTTCCCGATTTATATTCTGTGAATTTATGTATAAATTTGTTTTTTCATGTTTAGTTTACCTTTATTTTTATTTATTTTTTTGTGCCCTAGTGGCCTCATGGCATTACGATGGATTATTTACCTTAACTTTTTATCATCATATATACTGTTTTTTTGGGGGGGGTTTCGTGTGTGAGTGGATCATGTCATCTGTATTTGTTAATCACTTGGAAGTGTAAAGGGCTGTGGAGTGTTTTAATAGTCTAATGAAGAGCCTATGTGCTCGAAACGTTGCCTTTGCGAGAGTCCATCAATACATTTCTAGTTTTTGGAGCCGTGGTGCACCAACTTTATCTCTTTCTTCTGCCTTTTCTATAAACATATACAATCTTTCTCTTTTCTTTTCCACATTGTTCCACTTGTTCCTCTTGTTTATGATGATCAGATCTGCTCCTCTCTCTGTACAGTATCTTCTGCTCTCAGTCCAGCTCCTCTTATCAGAGGAAATGAAGTAAAGACTGGATTGATAGTAAAATCTGTAAACACAATAAGCTTAAAGGGTTAGTTCACCCAACAATTAAAATTAAAGTTCCGAAGATGAACGATAGTCTTACGTTTGGAACAACATATAAGGCTGGGTAATTAATGATAGAACTTTAATTTTTGGGTGAACTACCCCTTTAACTATTATCTTAACTTTCTCTGCTGGAGTGCAGGGTTAAGTGTGGACAGTTGAGACAGGTAGTGTAAGATCTATCTGCGTGTCCTGCTTGGAGACAATTGCTCGCATTCACCACAAAGTTTGGGATAGTGATCCTGGGACAGCATGTGTTGCTGCACTCGCTGAAGGTTATAGCGAATGAGTAGATGCTCTGTGCTCCTCATAAAGTGCTGATTGCTTTGTGCTTCATCTGACTGCTGTTCTGTTTCCACTGATTATCCCGCGCCGAGCACCGGACTGATGCGCTTTCTACGAGCTCTCATGTTGACTTAAAGGTGCATTGCGCAACTTTTCATGTTAAAAATACCTGTTTTTCTTCCTATACATGCTTAAAGAACTGCCTGATGGGCTGAATGAGCCCTTCTCTGCTTACTGAGATTGCCTCTATAATCCTGTACAGTAAAATATATAAGAGGGATTCGGGCTCGAATTTGAGACTGGGCGTGACGTCATGCGCGTTCACGCTCACCAGGCTGTCTCGCAAGTTTGTGTATTCGCCGGCGCCGCCATTCTCTGCATCAGCGGACAACTCGTGCGTCAAAAGTAGAAGATGGATTCAAAGAGAACGGCTTGTAGTCCATTCCAAACCCCAACGCAAACTCCACGTAAAGTAAAAAAAAGAAAAATGTTGTCTAGTGCCACCAAAAGGGCCAAATTGGAGTCAGACAGGCGTCGGAGTAAGACGAGAGTCAACCTCGGGAAATGGAGAGATCTCCGGTCTGCTCTTGGTCTCAAACGGGATCCTCAGTTGGCTTTTTTCTTGATAAAACAGTAAGATATAGCCCAGTCTCTAATGTTTGATACGGCCAATCTATGTATGACAACAAATGACGATGCGTAAAATGTGTAATGCTTTAGCGTAAGCTAGATACATATACAATCAGAATTGATTTTATACCATTGTCAGTGAACAGTTTCATAAACTAGGAATTGTGTTCGGACCAACAAGGAAGAACGCCGTTGCATTGGCTATATTGTCTTTTTCGGTAAAAATAGTAAATTGTAAATCCTTTCACTGCTGTCACTGCTATCCTCAGTGCTTCTCTCCACAGTAACATCAAATTGGTCCGAGCTCGTATTCTATCAAAACGAGGAAAACGTAAAATATTTTGGTATTGTGATAAAATACATGTTAATGTGTCAATACAAGTATTGACACATTTCTCATTAATGTTTGTCAGTGTGTATTGTCCCTGTCAAAATATCTACTAAATAAATCAGCGCTACATGTAGTTTAGTGATTAGCAAAACAGTTCAAGATTCTTGAGTGTGATAACATGCTGAAAAATATGACCGATAATTAGACACAAATTTTGAGTAAATTCTAACAGAAAAAGGATGTATTGTTATTGGAATATTCTCAGATCAATACAACAGGCTGAACCCCGCAAGTCTTTGGCAGCTTAGCCTGTTTTGGCTTTTATGAAAACGTCATGGTGACATTTGATTGTTTATTACCTTGAGACATTTGAGTGAACGTTGTTGACCAACCGTGTACGGTATGATTATTATTTTGAACTATTGCGAAGTAATCAATTATATTGTTCATGAACGTGTTTTCATAACAATACAATCATAGGTGGATACAGTAAACACATAAACAAAGTTTTCTACTACCCCGGTTTTCCCCTCACACATAAGAGTAATTTACTCAAATGTCTTTCCTTCCATATATTTGAAATGACTTGCAGATTTATAACTTTATTACCTCTGAAGACGACATTTTGGCTGTACTGTACACCAAAGATCTGTACAGCAGATGCTCCTTTAGTTATGAACAGCTCGTGCATGCGTGCGTGTGCGTGTGGTCTATGAGCGTGCACAACTCTGGTTGCAGTTTTCAAACAGGAGTTTGAAAGCGTGAGCACAACTTATCGTCTCGCCCAACTCATAATAGAGCTGCCCTCACACGTTTTGCCACATATAGTTTGAATTATTTATACAACAGACTCATAATTATCACCTAAGATGCTCAGGGCAGCTGAGTTAAAGAAAGTCAGATGTTCTGGGCAGTATAGTTTGGGGTTAATACAGAGGTTTGGGAAATCAGTAATATCTGGACTGTTGTAAGAAATGAAAAGCTATCAGATGACTGAAATGTTTCTGATGAACAGCTGATAGACAAGAAGAATGAGGCATCGTGTTATAAGTGGTACAGACAGCAAAAGTGTCAGTGTGGTAAAGAGGTTAAAGTGAATGCAAGAACTTCAGATGTGACAGACGACACAGCACTGGCTAAAGTGTTAAATGAGTGGATGGAGATACTGAAACAGCTACAGGAGGAAGTGGCTGAATTAAGAAAAGACGTATAAAGTGCAGCACCATCTTTTAGAGTCACTTCCTGGTGACTTCTGTTACGTCCTGAGATGCATTGTGTATATGTGTTGTTGCTTTGCTAGTCCTCTCTTTCTCTCTCTCTCGTCCAGCCCTTTCTTTCACAGGATTGGATCAGACCAAAGTGATCTCCACATGTGATTGGTGCTAATGGGACCAAGGGGCAATAAACGTATCTGGAGTGCCTAAAGAGGGAGCTCTGCTCAACCTGTGATTTCCTGTTGTTCAATTGCACATGTGCTGTTGTGTGTTTGCTACAGTGTGTGTGCTACAGCTTGCCTGTTGGTCTGGCTGTTGTGTGCAGTGTGAATTTTGGTTTTGAGTTGATAAGTGGCTATAAATCTATTTTCCTTTTTGTGTATTCTGTATTGTAAATATCTTGTCCACACTTGGAAGCTGTAGTGGAAGCTCATTTCTTTTGTAAATACTGTTTTCTCCTGTTTTTCATTAGATAGAGTAATTTATTGTATTTTTAATTTTAATTTAATTTTATTTTGTAAGGGAATTTAGTTTTTCTGTTAGGAATTTGTTTGGTGTTTGTTTGTTGTTTTGGCCTTTGCTCACCCCTGAAGTTGTGCTTTCATTTGTGGTTCTGTAAATAAAAGTGTACAAAGGATCTATAGTTGCCAATTCCAGTTTATGTTGCGGACTCAGCCTAGACGGGGTCGTAACACTACAAGAAGTTCATCAGAGTGAGTCTATACAGTCATCAGTAACACAGATGCAGACAAACATCTGTTAAGTATTCCAACACTTGCTCTTTTACACTTACTTGTGCTAGTTTGTGTTATATAGACTAACATTGCTAAACATTCACAGGGTCTTCCATGACAAACGCACCTGGATTAAATGTTAAATGATGACAGAATTCTCCTTCCTCTGTATTGATGGACAACATGAGATACAGACACTCAAACACAGGACAAAATAATAATCAAATACAAATAGGTCTATTTATAAAACATTTATTTATTATAGTGCCACAAGTGATTAATTAAATATAAATTTTATAACACTTTACTTAAAGTCTTTATATATAATTCCTTTCATTATTCCTTGTAGTGCACCATATAAATATTGTATGATCTCATGAATAATTGTAACCACAGTTATTATAATACATTATAATACTTATGTTATGCCTTTATAATGTACAGGTATAATGTATTAAAACACATAACAAACAAACAATTTCAGATGTAACAATGATTCTGCAATGATTATAATCCATTTTAACTTTGGTTACAATTATTTATGAAAAGATATAATGCATTCTAACATACATTATAAATATCTTTGTAATGCATATATACATAAAGGCTTTAAGTAAATTTTACTGAGGGAGAGAACCTATGTGTGTGTGTTTTTTTTTTTTTTTTTTTTTTTGGCTTAGATTGTCTTAAAGTAAGAAAGACCTTTTATGTCTGTTCAAAATTTACAGCATAAACAATTTGTGATTTAATGACTTGTTTTAATGGTTTTCTCACAGATCCATTGATAATTAGCTTTACATGGATAATCAGCCCGTCCTGATGAATGAGTTAGAGCACAGTTCTCTTTTACATGTCCACCAGGCTCTCCAGACGCCCAGAACCTGAAATTACAGATCAGCATTAGATGTTCAGTGCTTCTTTCGGTGTGATTTGATACCTGTTAGAATCATTATTAGAAAAAAAAATCAGTTAAATTGAGTAATTTCTCACCCAGAGCTCAGTGTGCTTCCATCAACCCATTTCCATGTGCCCTCCACATCACTGTCAGTCAGACCAATCCAGACATAGGCATCACCAGAAATGTTCTTAACAAATCCCTAAGAACAATTATATTATAATCTGTTAAATTACAAACTTTAATTGACTTCATATAAACATATTTTATCATCCATCCAAAGCAAGTACACACACATGCACACTTTGCATAGACATAATGATTTTTATACAAACTGATTATATCCCCGAAACCTAAACACAACCCTCACAGAAAACATTCTGCACTTTTACATTTTCAAGAAAAATATATATGCCCATATAATAACCCATAACGTAGGGTTTACCAGGACCACACACAGACACAGGTCTCATTCACTGAGCAAGCAGATTTGTGCGTGAAATATGCGTACGAACGTTTTCACGAACAAATAATGATTCATCAATAACTTTCGTTCAAAAATGTATTTTAAATTACGAAAAAATGTAAGAGCAACTGAAACTAGGGCTATATGTGTCACAACACAGAAAGAAACAGACAGGTGATATAGTGATAACAGTGCTTATTGAGCAGAGTGGTGAGAAACAGCGGGAACAGACGATGGTGAGAGGATGAGTGGATTCTCTGTGCAGGTGACGAGTGAACTAGAAGACAGGAGATGTGGAACAGGACGAGGGATCAAAGACGGACAGAAGACTGGAAGCTTGACGAGACGAATCACAGGTAGGTAGACGGAAAGGCGTAAGCGCGAGTCTCACCAGACTGCGCGCGCACCTCCCCAAACGGACGAGGCGTTTAGGCCTGCTCGACGCGCTCGCTGTTGTAGACTACTATTCTGTGAAACGACAGGGGGGGGACTCAAGTAATTGTCCTCTCCATCAGGAATCAACGGTGAGAAGAAGAAAGGTCCACACGTGACAATGTTTATTTTAGTACATCACCACCAATTAGGGTGGCCATTTCCATAACACTAAAAAAGGAGGACACTTTGCGCCATTTAGTGAGGCTAGAATAATAGCATAGGACTCTGGTGTACTCAGTGCCGCTACAGACTCAGAACACCGTTTACTCGCAACTACACTACAATTTTGTCCATCATATCGATGGTATCATACAGTGATAATGAATAGCCTACTCTATTCATTGCCAGACAATTTGATCTACGATATATCTTGATATAGACCTATATGTGTAACAGATAAGGCAAAAAAGTGTTTGTTTACTGTGTTTGTATTTATTCAAGACATTGTGATGTCTGTTTCAAAAACTGACCACTGAGATGAACCTGTCTTGCAAAGTGCACAGTGCCAGAAAACATAACATTTCTGGACTTCTGGAAATACATAAATAATGAATGCGAAAAATAAATAAATACACATTTCAGTTCTTAACAAAGAAGTTCACCCTCTGCACCCTCTTTTGGTATAAATTTGTGCTCTTTTGTCCTTTCCGGATTAGATGAGGTCTGACGTTTCGGCATGTTAACGATATGACGTAGCCAGCATGCGGAGGCTTGTTTACATTTTTAACCAATGATATATCAGATATTTATTTCACACCGCTTTCAGCCAATCATTTGTTTGGCCAGAGATCTTACGGTAATAACCGCTATGCTGCTGCGTCCCAGTAAAGATTCTAGAGCGGGGGGTTTTTAGGCCGATTAAGCGCAACTCCAAAAAGGAGGACAAATTAGTGTCCGGCTTGAGGCTGCGGCGGACAGGGGGCTTAAAATCCGGACTGTCCGGCCAAAATCCGGACGTATGGCCACCCTACCACCAATACCACACTACAAAGAATCATGTAAAATCCAGTAAACCCTGAGATTATTACTTGTGACATTAGAACAAAATATGTGGATCTAAAAAACATGTATGTAGGATATAGGCTACAACTAAATTCGAAATCTTAAATATTTTCTAATTTCACTAAACATCTCATTAAGTTTCGTGGACATTTTATAAAACATGGACCTTCATTGTTATTAAAATGGCTTATGTCTGTGCAAAACCACTGCGGGCTCAGCAAAAGTGCGCATCGAGGGCGCATATCGACTGCAAAGGGGGCGCTCGCGAGCACCCTTCTGAATCCTAAAATGACAAATGTGACTCTACACCAAGGGGGTAATCCATCAGCCGGAAACTGAAGCCACCCGGGGGGCCGCCATTGTAGCAGACCATCACCTGCTGTTAGCATTCCATTGACTCCCATTCATTTTGGCGTCACTTTGACAGCGAATAACTTTACATCTGAGGCATCCAAAGACTCCATTTGTCCATTATTTATTTCTAAAGAAACATGACAATGTATAAAAGGCTCCATTACTTTGTATCTTACCACGCGACTCTCTGTCGCACAGTAGAGAAATTAACGTATAGACAGGAGAAGAAGGTCGCGGGCAATCGGGGGGACGTGGAGGCATAAAGTCAAGGGAGAAGCCCATAGAGAGTCATATAGTTGATCCTGCTGCTGCTCATGGACAGCTGCTACTCACGCTCTCCGTCTCTGCAAGATTCGGAAGGGAATGATTCAGATTCCGCTTGGCACAGTACAACTGTGAGACAGGTTGCTCACGTCACATCTACGTCGTCAAGCTCAATTTGAGCCTGCGCAGTTCGCTCAACCATCAGGAAGTGAGTGCTTCTAATTGGCTTCACTTTTCTCCGTTGAAATCTATGGGGTCGCTGTGTCCATTTCTTTTACTGTCTATGCTCTACACTCAGTCTCATGGACTTAACGGACACGCGCACGCGGTGACGAAAGGAAAGGATGTACGGAATGCTTTTATATGGCGTTATATGGACACGGTTTGGCTGTGTTTTATGTAAATTACTTAGCCTATACCTCGGGCACGCAGACACTTATTTAGAATACTCCGAAAATAGGCGGAAAGTTTTCGCGAGAAGTTCAAATATGCTCATAAATTCGGATAGAGTGCGTAAATTTTAGTAAATGAGAATCACTGTCTTTCACTCACTTGTTCCTCTCTGTTGTTTATGATGATCAGATCAGCTCCTCTCTCTGTACAGTATCTTCTGCTCTCAGTCCAGTTCTTCTTCATAGAGGACATGAAGTAAGAATGGCATTTATAGTAAATCCATCCATCTGTAAACACAACCAGTTCAACGATTAGGACTTTATCGTCATCCCTAATGAATTATGCAACTTGTTTTTAGTTATGTATATTTGTTTAGCTGCAGTTCAAAATTACCCATTTCACAAAGACTCTTCCACAGTTCATTTTTCGCTTGATTTAATTGGTCTCTTTGCTTAGTCAGGTTGTTAATCTGGTTTAATAATCCATTGCTTTAATTTTTTAAGTTTATGTTCTTGTTTAGTTGCCGATCTCTCTCTTCTGTGTAGTTTGTGCTCTTTGTATGGATGTGAACACACAGCACTATGACTGCAGTCAGCAGAAGAACACACAGCGACACCAAACACACTGCAGCGGCTCTGGAGCTTCTGTTCCTCACAGTATCACTTCCTGAACACCACAGATATGATGTTAAATGACTGAACATGTGCAAACTGTGATGATTTTATTAAAGAAATGAATGTGATTACCTGTCTGCTGAAGTGGTTGGTGTGTGTTTGTCTCTGTCCTGAAGTCATGATCAATACTGTAACCGATATCCAGCATCAACTCTACACTCTCTCTGTTCATGTCCTGAGGTTCAGTCCTCCTCACACACTCATAAATGACCTCAGATATCTCTAATCTTTTATAGTCAGACATTATAACACTGAATGTTGTGTTTTTAGTTCGGTTGCTCTGCGTGTGTCTTGCGTCTGGTTCTGCTTTTATCAACACTTACATCTGCACACAACGGAACAGGCATAAGAGAAATGTGTGAAGTCAAACATCAAATGACATTCTAATATACAAGTTTAGAATAAGAACAAGTGATGACAGGAAACACTTTATTAGATTATATAGTTTGAATTATTTAAACAACAGACTCATAATTATCACCTAAGATGCTCAGGAATCTGCTCAGGGCAGCTGAGTTAAAGAAAGTCAGATGTTCTGCAGTATAGTTTGGGGTTAATACAGAAGGTTTGGGAAATCAGTAATATCTGGACTGTTGTAAGAAATGAAAAGCTATCAGATGACTGAAATGTTTCTGATGAACAGCTGATAGACAAGAAGAATGAGGCATCGAGTTATAAGTGGTACAGACAGCAAAAGTGTCAGTGTGGTAAAGAGGTTAAAGTGAATGCAAGAACTTCAGATGTAACAGACGACACAGCACTGGCTAAAGTGTTAAATGTTAAAAGAGAGGCTGAGTGGATGGAGATACTGAAACAGCTACAGGAGGAAGTGGCTGAATTAAGAAAGACGTATAAAGTGCAGCACCATCTTTCAGAGTCACTTCCTTGTGACTTCTGTTGCGTCCTGAGATGCATTGTGTATATGTGTTGCTTTGCTGGTCCTCTCTCTCTCTCTCTCTCTCTCTCTCTCTCTCTCTCTCTCTCTCTCTCTCTCTCTCTCTCTCTCTCTCTCTCTCTCTCTCTCTCTCTCTCTCTCTCTCTCTCTCTCTCTCTCTCTCTCTCTCTCTCTCTCTCGCTAGGGATTGTGGGTAGTGGGAAGAATTAGAGTTCGGGAGCACATGAGAGTTTGTTTACTTTAATCTTGTTTTTCGTTTTCTTTTTATAAGATTTCGTTAGAGTTTAGTTTATGTAATAAACTTATTTTTGAACGCCGACTGAGGTCGGCAAACCTAGATAAATGGGGTCAAGCGGAGATTTCTCACGCTTGACTCTTAGACACGGTTTGAAATGCACACCTGATGATTCAATATCTGTGGAAGATGTGGTGGTTGCAGTCAGCGAACAGGTTGGTGGGTTAAATATCAAGTCAGCTTCAAGGATGAACAAAGCTGTTGTTGTTTTTCTTGCCGATGTCCAGATGGTTGATGGTTTGGTTGAACGCGGAATTACGCTTAATGATACGTTTGTGCCAGTACTGCCGTTATCGAGTCCATCTAAGAAAATCGTATTATCGAACGTTCCTCCGTTCATAAAGAACGAAACCATTCAAAGCGTTCTTGAAAGATATGGCAAATTAACAGCACCTATAAAAATGATTCCGCTGGGTCTGAAAAATCCGAATATCAAGCACGTTATGTCTTTATTAGCTCGGATCACATGCGGTGTTTTGCGTGCGGGGAACACGGGCATGTTAGGCAAACATGTCCAAAAAAACAAACAGATAAGTCATCTAATCCGCAAATAATTTAGCAACACGTTGAACAAAATAATGTTCTTGTTCCTGCTGTTGAAACAGCACCTAAAGAAAACACTGATGTAGGAAGAGACGTAGAAAATCAGGATACGGGTGAGGAGATTGTAAATCTAGCAAGTGTAGAAAAATCTACTCTGATTGTAAATGAAGAGGACAAACAATCAGAAAAGGGCAAACAGTTATAGAAGATGATAAAACAGAAGGCGAAAGAGAGGAAGCTGAGGAAGAAAGCTGTACCCAGATGTCCAATGTGAGTTCAGGATATGCTATTTCTGAAAATGATTCAGATCAGGATCTTGAGAGTATAGATAGTCCTTCTGATGGAGATGATGCTGAGAGATCGGAGTCGCTTGACGCTAGATTGTACACAGTAAAGCAAATCAGTGACTTTCTAGATAGTACTAAGGGAGCTCGTAAACCACAAATAGAGACGTTTTTCCCTGATTTGAAGCGATTTTTGGTGTCATGTAAAATGGCAATGAACAAAGCAACCGTTGAGGAATTAAGTAGACGGAAGCGTTATCGCCTTAAGAAAATAATAACAAAGGTAAAAAACACGGTAAACCGTAATGTAAAGAAGGTTTGAATATTCTTTTCTTTTTTTTTAAATGGAGAGAAGAGAATTTATAGCCTGTGTTTGGACGCTTTTTGTCTCTTTATTAATAGTCAGCATCATGGCATTAAACTTTGGATCTTTGAATGTTAATGGGTGTCGTGGTGCTGAAAAAAGGTGTGCTTTGTTTGATTTTTTTAATTGGAAAAAATCTGGTATAGTTTTTCTGCAAGAAACACACACAGATTTGAATAATCAGGTGCAATGGCTAAGTGAGTGGAAAGGTAAAACTTTCCTTAGCCATGGTTCAAACGTTAGTGCCGGTGTAGCAGTTCTTATTTCTTCAGATGTACAAGTACAAGATAGCAGAGCTGAAGAAGTTATACCTGGCAGAATGCAAATTATAGAATTTAAGTTATTTGAGTTATTTTTTTCTCTCATTAACATTTATGCTCCTAATGACGGTGTAGAAAGAGTTTCTTTTTTCAAAAAATTTAAAAATGTTATTTCAAAAATTCCAAATAATAGAATAATAATTTTAGCTGGTGATTTTAATTGTACTCTTGATTATACTATGGATCGGAACCATGTTGAACCTAATCTCAATTCGTCTGAAACTCTCAAAACTGTTATTCGTTTTCACAACCTTGTAGACGTTTGGAGAGAAGCCTTCCCTAGAGATAGACAATATACATGGTTGAAAATTAATTCGAACACAGTCTCTGGTGCAAGACTTGATAGATTTTACGTTCAAAAGAATAATAGAGGAAGGTTTTTTAATAGTAAAATTTTGCCAACATCATTTTCTGATCATCATTATATTGCGGTAACTATGACCATAAAACAGAGCACTTCCCACCATCATATTTGGCGTTTTAACAATAGATTATTGCAAGATAAGTCTTTTGTACAATTTTTTACTTTGTTTTGGAGAGAGTGGAGAGAGAGAAAGTTACAGTATAAAAATTTAGGCCAGTGGTGGGATACTGGAAAAGTACAGATCCAGCTCTTTTGTCAGCAATATACAAGAAGCCGTATGATGGAGCTGAAAGAAAAGGTCCTGTTCTTGGAAGAGCAAATTCTCCAGTTAAGCAGTTCCATCAGTGATGGTGAAGAGACAGAAACTGCAAAAATGCTTAAAGAGTACAATTTGATTTTAAAGAATTTGTATGAAGTCGCTGCGCATCGATACGGGGAAAATATCTTCAGCTAAACAGCATGGATTCTTCAACAACATTCTTTTTTTCATTGGAGAGGAATATTAGAGAGAAGAAAAACATAAATTATATTAAATTGCCAAATGGAAAAGAAATAATGGAAAAGAAAGAAATAATTTCACAAACTTTACTCTTTTATGAGGATTTATATACAGCACAACCTTGTGACCTTGAAGCAACAAATCAGCTTTTAGATGGACTTCCACATCTTAAAAAAGAAGATAAAGCTGAATTAGACAAAGCCTTGTCACTTCACGAGCTAACTGAGGCTGTTCAGCAGCAATCCTCAGGAAAATCTCCAGGGTTAGATGGTTTGACCTCTGAGTTCTACAAAGCCTTCTGGTCCCTCATCGGACAGGATCTGTATGCTGTATTTTGTGAAAGTTTTGAATCAAAAATCTTACCCCTGAGTTGCAGAAGAGCTGTAATCACTCTCTTACCCAAGAAAGGAGATCTTGGCCTATTAAAGAACTGGCGACCAGTTTCTCTTTTGGGAACTGATTATAAAATATTATCTAAAGCTCTGACAAATCTTCTCAAGGAATTGTTAGCATCCATTATTCACGAAGATCAGTCCTATTGTGTACCAAAGCGGTCTATATTTGACCATCTTTTTCTTGTGCGGGACATGTTGTATTTAACCGAACTGCATAAGTTTGATCTTGGTCTTGTCTGTTTGGACCAGGAGAAGGCCTTCGATAAAGTTGACCATGAATATCTGTTCAAAATACTTGAAGGCTTTGGCTTTGGAAAGCAGTTTACTTCATGGATTAGACTTCTGTATGAAGATGTTTATAGCATGTTGAAAATTAATGGAATTCTGACAAGACCTTTTTCTGTACATAGAGGAGTGAGACAAGGTTGTAGTTTATCTGGCCTCTTGTACACAATTTCCATTGAACCAATGTTGAGGATGTTGAGGGAGAAGCTGCAAGGATTGACGGTTCCATCATCTTGCCTCTCGAATACTCCATCAGTTAAACTAACAGCTTATGCCGACGACATCACAGTGATCATTAGATCTGAAGATGATGTTAAACATCTAATCTCATGCCTCAACATCTATGAGAGTGCTTCTTCGGCACGTGTCAATTGGGAAAAAACAGACACTTTATTATTAGGTCATTGGTTGAATCAGAATCTACCGCAACTTCCACATCAGTGCCTTTGGAATAAAGAAGGTGTAAAGATACTTGGACTGTTTTTTGGGACTGAACAGTTTATGGAAAAGAATTGGGAAGGACTTCTAGAAAAAGTAACAGGCAAGCTCCAGAGATGGAAATGGATTCAAGCTCAGCTTTCTTACAGAGGCAGAGTGTTAGTAGTGAACAATCTAGCCGCCTCAATGCTGTGGCATCGTCTAACAGTGTTGGACCCTCCCAAAGAGCTCTTATTGCAACTTCAAAAAGCCTTTGTTGACTTTTTTTGGGGAGGCCATTATTGGCTCCCTCCAGGAGTTCTGTGCCTTCCAGTTATTGAGGGCGGTCAAGGACTAATTCATCTAGCCTCTAAGGTGAAAGCCATGAGGTTACAGACTGCACAAAAACTGCTTTACTCTTCTGACTCTGTACCATGGATCAGTTTTGGTCTTGCCATTCTACGAGAGAAAAACAAGATCGGTTTTGATAAACAAATATTTCTGAGCTCTGTTAATGTTGTAAAGGATATGTTTAAGATCAAGTTTTATGGATCTGTGTTTGAAGCTTGGAGTTATTTTAAGT